TTTTTTGGAGGGGGGGGAGGGGGGGTGAGCTTCCGGGGAAGAAGCTCGAGTGCTGTGCGAGTGTGTGTGAGTAGTCGGGGGCGTGAAGCTTTGTGAAGCGGGCTTTCGATTCTTTTTCGTGTTCTTCTCCCCCGCTGCTGCTCTCTAGAGGCGCTCCTCGAAGCGCATTTCGAAAGAGTATCCGCGTGTGTAGGTGACCCTTCTGTGTGTGTTTTACGCTTCTCCAGTAACGCACAAACAACAAGGGGGCACAACGCATATGTGATAAGCGGCCTTTCCATATGTGCAGGGTTTACCAGAAGAAGATATCCTTTACGATTGCGGCCTGTTGGGGTACGCTGGAGGGGGGTGGGGCGGCGAGGCATCTCCGCGCCGCCTCCGAAGAACGGCTTTCGGCTACGGGAAGAGGGGGGTGCACGCGGAGTTGGTACAATGTGTGACGGAAGGGGGGGGTTGTGGGTGTGCAAACGGTGTCGGCCAGCTATGGCGTTGAACATACGCTGGGTGGTTTTGGCAGATCGCCACCGGTATGCCCGCCGGTGTGGTGTAGTGCCGTGTGGTGTGGCGTAGCGTGGCGTTGCGTGGCGGGGTGTAGGGTGCGCTGCCGTTCTGCGACGATCAAAGACCGCCGCCCCCGCCACCGGGGTGGAAAAAGCCGTCGTCAGGATTCTGTTTTTAGGGCGAGGAAGGACACACAACAAAAACACGTTCTACGCAGAAGGCGAGGAGTTCTTCGCCGGCCCGTAGGCTATGCCACCACGTAAGGATTGTGGCAACATTTTGGTCTGGTCCCCTGTCCCCGAGTAGATGGAGGTCTACCGGTGACGACGACGACACGTCGATCGAATCTGGGGGGCAAGCGGACCGGGGACGTGTCCATTCGATATTCGATGATTTCCATTTTTTTCTATGGCTGAATATTTTGGGCACTTTTTTTGCTGTTGAGTTGGTTGTCGTGAAGAAGACGATCTGTTTTGGGGAGGGGAGGAAGTCAGGCGCACGAAGCGAACAGCAAGTAGATGGTCGAGTGCCCGGTACATATTGCCTACTTGAGACATACACGCGTCCATGTCCATCATGCACGTACATATGGGGGTCGGGTGTTTATGGAGTCTGGGGAAAGGTATGGAGGCAATGAGTTCACATCAGGGCGCACGCTGTTACATTTTCTCTGTTTCCTATTTCTCTTTCTCTTTCTCTCTCTCTCTCTCGTCGTATTGCCCTGTCCTGAATTGTCCTGTATGAAAGTCAAATTGTTCGTGCATTTTGTTCGTTGCTTGTTGTCCTTGTCCTTGTTACTGTGTGGTCGCCGGCCCTGGCGTGTAAAGGCTATTAGCTAGGTAGCGGCTGTACTCATGCTCGCCTCGCGTGAGATATTTGTTTTAGTGGTAAAAGTAGTGAGCGATGGTGGAAAAGGCGAGAAACAAAGGGGGGGGGTCAGCGAGATTTTTGTGTGATACATGCATACTAAATGTTTATACATTTTTTTTTTATGATATGGTAAACCAGGCGGCGTTGTTGGAGAACGAGCAATGATACCATGTACATAGGCATGGGGGTTATGTATGTAATTTGTTGTGTCTGAGGGTGCGTGGGTTGTTTGCGTGTGCAAGGAGGGGAGAAGACAGGCGGACAGATCGACAGACAGGGTGGGGAGGGGCGGAGGAAAGAGAGAATGTTTTGGCGAAGCAGGAGCACTTCTTCTGTGTGGTCGTCGTTGCGGAAGGCCTTCGGTCTTGGACGGACGGACGGACGTGTGCATGCATACATGTAGTAGTAGTGTAGTCTACCAAGCGCAGCAAGTATTGATTTTGTGTTCTGTATGCCCCGTGCATGCATAGTGTACCAAGCGCAGCAAGTATTCGTTTTGTGTTTTGTATGGCCCCGGCCTAGGCAATGACTGCGAAACAACAACAACACCGTTCCTTTCCGTTTGTATCTCCCTCAGTGTTATTTTTCGGTAAATGGCTTGTCGAACGAATGAATGCGGTCATGGCATGTTATTCTTCAGCATTTTTCCATACAAAAAGTACTTCCTCTGGACCAAAATATAAGCTCGTTCGGTGGAAAAACGGAAGAACACACACGAAGCTCAATGGGACCCACCGCCAGTTCCTCACACGGTGCATCGGCTGGAGCAAGCGGAAACGCTCCGACCGCCCCCTGTCCTATGCCCAGGCCCTCATCCAGGCAGGCTGCGAGGAAACCATCGAGGCCACCGTGCGCAAACGGAGACTGTGTTTCGCGGGCTTCGTTATGCGCATGGAGGACAACCGCCTCCCCAAGCGCATGCTGTTAGGAGCGATGGCGGGGGGCGTGGGATACCGGGGCGGGCAGGAGAGCGACTGGGTGTCTCGTCTAGGAGAGGACCTCGTGGCCTTCAACATGGGAGACGAAAAGGAAGGGGGGAAATGGAAAGAGAGCGCCAAGAACTCGGAGGTGTGGTACAACAAGGTCGAGGACGGGGCGGCATGGTTCATGAGGAAATGGCACAGGCAGGAGGCGGAAGCGTCCGCGAAGCGCCAGCGCGCGCGGGAAGCAGAAGCAGAGAGTACGACCATCTCAGGACCGAAGAGAAAGAGAACCGGCGAAGCGGCGGTGGGGGGGAAGAAACGGCGAACGGGCACTGCTGTAGAAGCGAGTAGGGCGGCCGAGGCAACGCTTGTGGCGAACTATGCACCCGGCTGATGTTGTTGCGCCCGGTTTCCCTCCCTGCCGTATGCTATACTCCTTTATGTATGTCCTTGTATTGCCTTCGGCCTCTGTGCTGTGTTTCTTTTTTTTTTTCATGACCTCCCTGCCTGCTCTGCTGTGTTGGGTACCTTGATCTCGCTTTGCTGTTGCCTTTGTTTTTTTGTACGGCTGGCTGTCTGCCCATCTGCCGCCTCTTTGCCCTGTTTGCTCCGTTACTCCCATGCCCTGGTGCGCAGTGCCTGGTGCTGGTACGTTACGTTACCCTTTCATTTTTTCTTTCGGCGGGTGTGGGAAGCGTCCTCCTTTATTTATTTTTTTTGTTATTTTTGTTTTGTTTTATTTTGATCGGTGTCCGAGGGCTCTTTTCTCGAACAGTAGGTGCGATACCTGTTCTTTTCTTTCTTTCGATCATTTTGTTTTCTTTTTCCGAGTGGTTTGTATCCTATTTTTGTTTTTTGTTTTCTCGCGGCGTCGTATGTGCCGGGTTTTGAGACCACGGGCTCCCCATTTTTTGTGGACTATAGAGCTAATGTGAGAAACAACAACAACAACAACAACAACAACACGCCCATATGCGAGTTTTTCTGAAGGCTTTTTTGTGTTGTTTTCGCGAGGATCTGGACCAGAGTCCAAAACCGGGGTTTCACTACCCTCTTAGTACAACATTATCTACGTTTAGGTTCAGAAAAGTCGTGCAGTTTTCCACGGAAAGGTGAAAAGAAACCCGACTTTTTTTCGCCTGTTCTATTCGTGATGTCATCGCAAAAAGTACGTTTCCTTCCCTGAATACACACTTTGCTCGGCACACATCAGGTTGACTTGGTGTTGCTCACCATAGTCTAGAGCAGCGGTAAAAGCGCAATGAGCAGCACCCGCCACGAAGGACAACACACACACTTAGAAAGATCCTATCCACCCGGCCTGCTGTTTTCAGTTTTCAGCAACAGCAGGCGCAGGGCAGATTGTCACAACAACCTGGGTGTTGCTTGCGATTTCTCCAGTTTGCCAGCTCAAATTTCACGGTTGGTTGCGACTCCCATCTTTGACCACCAACTGCCCAAAGGTAGACGAGCTCAACAATCATAGGGCGGCAGCCGCGCTGACGGCCAGCATCATATAGATGGCCAATCCGAAAGAATTAGCGTGTCGGAGGCCCTGTTGCTCTTCTGCTGCGTGGTGCCGTGGATTGATGTTGACGTTTCCGACCAAAAACAGATCATCTCGCCGCATTTCTTCCAACGGCATTTTGGTCAGGTGGCACACGTCTCTCACACACAGCAGACTTACGGGAAAAATGGGAACGTATCCAAAAATGAGAATGGGCGTTTGTTTTTAGAAAGCAAACTACGCCTTTGCAACTCCCCCCAAAAAAGTTGACAGTGCTGTAGGTCTTAACAGCAGCTTTCGAATGAGCTGTTGCTCAAGCTGTATGTCCTCGGCATCGCCGAGGTAGCCAGCATCGCGAGAAATCAGGTCGAAACCAGCACGAATCGCTTTTTGCGCCCGTGAGAAGGCGTGATGTGGAGCATGGCGGTTCTGATGAGCTCATCTCACAGCTGGGGCGAAGGGGTTTCGCAGGATAATTTTGGTTCTGTGATACACCCGATGGTTCTGAAGAAAAACGCCAATTCTCATTTTTGGATACGTTCCCATTTTTCCCGCAAGTCTGTTACACCTTGTTAAGCACAGCACCAAAGCACCCAATACCCACGAAGCAGCACGGCGCCGGGAGATGGTATCATATAGACAGCCGAACCGAAGGAATCAGCGCGTTGGAGGTCTTGGTGCTGCTGCTGTCCTCGTTCTACTGTTTCCGTGTTTGCTATGCGTGATTGAAAAAAATTCCCCCGCTCCAACAGCAGCAAAAGATGAGAGCACTACGCAATGTCTAGTTTTGGACCAAGAACGGACTGAACGCCGCTTCTGCCGCTTGTCCATCTCCACAACAGACCTGGATGTGAGTCTGGCAGGTCTTTCTAGCGTTCTCAGTGATGTTACAGCACCCGCGGTGCGCTTGTCCGATGCTTCTGTCAAAACACGAATCCGTGAAGAAAGTAGCAAGCCCCAAAACATCCCGGCTCCTTCTTTTCACGTTTGTTTTCGGGGAAAAACGCCTCCATATATGTTCAAGAAGCAACACGATTCCTTCCGTAAAATGTTGCGTGATTTTTTGGTCGTTAATAATACCCCATTATTATTATTATTATTGCCCTCCGACAATTGAAGATGTTAGCACTAAAGTCCTAAAACGTTTCACTCAATGTATACCCCTTACTATTTCTATCTTCATGCACGTCATGTTAGTACGNCCTACCAATGCCGAACTTAAAACTGAAGGAAATCATAACATTATTGATTGAATTCAACATTTCCTCCGTTCTCCTGTTACTTCCTTTTGTGGAAACCTGGATGAAGGTATCTTCCTAACGGTACTGACGCACATACAACCAGTGAAGATCAGAGACCCTACGAACACAGTTCTACAGGTCTTCTGCAGATGTTTACAAAGAAAGAACCTCCGCCTGCTGTGACCAGCCGGAGCATGA